GCAGTTATTGTGTGCTATAGTCAGAATGTGTGATCCTGTTGTGGATGCGCTCTTCCCATAACAACGCGCTGAAACACAGCAACTAAACCCAAAGAATTCACAACATTTTATTATAATAATGTTCTCATTAGAATGTTATATACACGACATTCCCAATCATAGTTATTAATGTTGTGCACTGCTGTTTGAGCTGTGTGCGCTGAGCTAAAGATGATCACCGGTAAACTGAAGCGCTCTTTTAACTTAACCAAACGCATTCTATACGAGATAAATCAGATATACATCAAATAAACACAATAATACAACGTACAATTGCACAAAAGGCTGCAAACGAACAGTGCGCATCTGAAGTGTCTCTGAAGGAAATAATGCATTATTTATCGGCTTTAAGATATCGGCCAAATTTTTTTATCGGGCCGATACTGATAACCGGAAAAAATGAGCATTTATCGGCCAATACCGATATGGTGGCCGATATATCGTGCATCCCTAATAACAATATCGTGCATATTCATTACCGTGATATATCGCATTACCGAATACCGGCACAAGTCTAATCCCTACATGAAATGACAATTCACCTTATCCATTTTGTCAAAGCATGTTATAGATCTTACTGTGAACAATTCATCCAGTCATACGTTTCTTTTATTTTTTTTTTTTTAATTTGACCTCATAATGTTTAATTAAAATGTCAAAACTGGATCTTTCAGTGAAAACAACAGACTTCTTTCTGGTGAAGTAGGCACGAATTCTCCACTCATTTAGTCAGCTTAAACCCTGCCCCTCCATAGTCCACAGCGATCTGCAATCTCAAAATATAATCAACAACCAATGGACAGAACTGACGCCCCACGTTTTTTTTCCTTTTGGATAATCTATTACAATTATGTACATCACAGTACGTAAGAAAAGATGTGTTGTTTTCGTTATATTGTGAATTTAAGATTTGCTTGACTGGTGTATGACCTGAATTTGTTTTTTAGTTTTATTGACCAGTCTTTTGTCTTTCTTTAAACAATGAGATAGGTTTGCCATTGACCTGTCAGTATGTATTCTTGTCTGTACTATTACAATAGTTATTTTCTCTTCTGATGAAGTATGACAAGAGTGACCTGCCCAGACTCACTTGGTTCTGTGGAGCAACAATGGAAACCAAATTAACCCTATTTTTGTGGTTGTTTCAGATATGGAAATGCTGTGTTAATTTCCTGTTGGTCTGAGGGTAGAAACAGGTGTGAAGTAGTGCAAAGTGAAATGGAGAGTGAAGACTTTCTGTTACAATACACTCTGACCCATTCGCACAGTTCACTGTACACTTGACCCTTTCCTTTCTCTGTCTGCTCCTCTGTGTTTTTGGGTAGCTGTAAACACTAAGAGCATGATCCCAGAATAGAAACCATGTTCCTTGGCATAGATGGAAAGAGTTTGAATGGAATAACACGTTACACCCACCATTAGTCACTTCCTTTTTGAATGGAATATTCTGGAACGGTTAGCTGATGCAGACACTTAACACAACTGGAGGAGTTTAATTGGTTTTGTATTGTAACTCATAGGGATTACCTCAAAGCCTCATTGAGATATGGATTTCCTCAAACAGCCTCTGGCACGCCTCTAGATGAGGTAACCCTGTCTTGTTTCCTTCTGCTTTTTTAAAGAATAGATGGTGTTGCTGATGTGTGTCAGTTGCAGGTTACAGGGAGGGGCTAATCTTTTACAAGACGTTTCCGTTTCTTCTTATCATAGATATGCATATCTCATGTTCATTATTCCATGAATTTCATAAAACTGTTACAAATGTGATATCTGTTGGTTTTTTGCTCAATCACATAGTATTGTAATAAATGAATTTGTAAGAAAGGCCAGTGTGCTTTGATGGTTATAGGTTTCATTCTGTTGGAGTAAAGCTGTGAATAAGTGCTTTTGTAATGAAGTAGGTCAAAGGCAATAGACTAATCTCAGGGTACATTCAGGAATTTGTTTCTTTCTCAGTCATTTTAGCTCTAAATTACATATTGTACACCAAAGTTCCTTTTTTTATTGATAGTTTTATTTGATATTCCTTTTACCACAAAGTGATACTGAGATTTCCTATCATGCCATTAAAGTAATACCTGTTTAAAATGAAGTGATAAATTAATACAAATCAACATAAATCAGACAGTTCAGTGGTCATTAACAATGTATTTTATTTTTAAAAATACAATCTCCAAAGCTGCACTTAATATCAGATGATATTAAGTGCAAGGACTGCCCACTTAGGAAAGAAGATGCCATCTGACTGATATGTAAAGCAACTAATAACAGATTGTTTTGTTCAGTGTCATGATTGGGGCGGGTAAATGTTACCACAATAACTGACTGGCATTCACCTTCACAAACTTTTTGAAATCCAGCATTTAGTATTTCATGTGAGGCGCTTGTTGTCAGAGTCTTCAAGGACACAGCTTTGTTTCCTGGCAGACCACTAAAGACCGCCACACACTAAGCTCCCAGAATTCCGGTAGAAGTCAGCCAATCAGATTTAGACTTTGTGAAAGTGTTTCCACTTTAGTGTGCCATATGCACAACCCTCTACAATGTGAGTAAATCACTCGCATATGCGACTAAATAATATCTATAATTAGCCATTGGCTAATAAATTCTTAGATTTTACTCGCCAGTGTGTGAGTTGGAGGCTAAGTATAAGTTTAGCACAGATATGTTTTCACTTGCCAAACACTCTGACTGAGCGTTTCAGAGTTTCACTCTCCGTCAAGCGATCTGTGCTATTTTTCAATTAATCTCAATGGATGCGCAGCTTACCTGTATTTGACGTACAGTAAACTGTAGTGTGAAGGTGCACGACTCGCCGTTGCTTTGCTGAGAACACTGTTTCTCACACACGCAAAGAAAGCAAGAGTGAGAGAGTCTTACATACCATGTAGAATTGACATGCTACATGTAAATGATATTCTTTGTTGTATTTTCCTGTAAAAATAATGGAGTTCATTTGGAATTCTTCAGCTTTTAAGAACAACCATTAGATTTCCAATTTCTGTGGTTGAGGGTGGAACTAATGCGCAAACGGCAATCTCATTGGCTGGCGCTCACCTATTATCATCCCTGTTTTGATTTCAGCAAATCAGTCCAGCAAATCCTTTTATTTACAGAAACACTGAATGACCAACAATATCTTAAGCACCACCACCAGTCCTAAGCTCAGTTAAAATGACAAATATTCATTCATGCAGGGTTACCAAGTTTTAATTCTAATTACTATAGTTTTATCATTAAAGGAGACATATTATGCCCCTTTTTACAATATGTAATATAAGTCTCTGGTGTCCCCAGAATGTGTCTGTGAAGTTTCAGCTCAAAATACCCCACAGATAATTTATTATATCATTTTGAAAATGCCTATTTTGAGTGGAAGCAGAAACACGCTGTTTTTCGGGCCTGTCTCTTTAAATGCAAATGAGCTGCTGCTCCCCGCCCCCTTTTCCAGAATAGAGTTGCGTCATTACAGCTCGCACCTGCTAAAAACATCTGTTTTCTTTAAATGCAAATGAGCTGCTGTTCCCCGCCCCCTTTTCCAGAATAGAGTTGCGTCATTACAGCTCGCACCTGCTAAAAACATCTGTTTTGGTTCTGATTATAATGTTTATCGCGCTGAAATCGTGCTTTTTAAACCATGAGTTTAAACTTCTTATATACGGTTTTCTGAGCGCACACAACCGAAGCATGCGCACAGAAAGCGGCCACCACACAGCATGTGAGTACTAAACTAAGTACTAAACATTCACACACAAGTTTACATTAAAAGCACACGCGTTACAAAAACAGTCGGTTATGTCTGTGAAGGTAAACAGCTGGGAAATAAATTGCATGTTTATTTTAGATCTGTGTGGCAGCAGCAATATACATTAAATAAATCAATAAATCCACTGCTCTCTTGTCTCCTCTGAGGCTGGGACTCTAAACAGTGTTCTGTGTTCGTCTGTGCAGCCAAAGACAGAACAGTTAGCATGTTTTGCTCAAACTTTCACCATGGCATTTGAGCTGGTACACCGTTGTCGCTTGCGAAATCAAATGACGTGCCGTGGGTGGAAACTTACAGATTAAGGGGTGTACTGTCAATTTTATTTTCATATTTAAAAAGCTGTGCCATTTTACAAACATAAGCTTTATATATACTGTATATATATATATATATATATATATATATTTCATGAAGTTTAGTTTCACAAAACTAAAGTCAGAGCATTCTGTTTTTGTTTTAAAATTTCAAATTATACAATCAAATTTAAATTTAAAAAACTGCTCATGCTGAATGTATTCAGCATCTATGTTTGGATTGTGATTCAAATGCAGTGGTTGCCTCTAATTTTGAATGGAAAGAGCACAGGCAAAGCTTTTGTTTATATGAAGAGGTTTTTTGTATTATTTATTTGATTAGATTTGGGGTTTGTTTTAAAATTTCAATTTAGTTTTGTTATTTGACATATTTCTGTTTCACAAAGAAATGTGCAGCATTTTGTCCAAGCAATAATAAAAGGAAACCTTTTCATTTATAATTTTTCTTAAATCTAATTTTGGTTTTAAAAAAATTTGTGAGAAAATCGAATCGTGTAATCAGTATCGTGAATCGAATCAAATCGTGAGTTGAGTGAATCGTTACATCCCTAGTAGGGACGATGAGTAACAACCAATCGGGAGCGCACCTGAATTGTATTGATCACTCAGATTGATAGCACCTGCATTTGCCATTCGCCATAGATTAGATGTGCACAACTGCCACTCTGACCTTTATGTAGCCTCGCCACTGCATCATAGATATGATACTAACAGCTATTACAGCTATTTCAACTAAATTTGAAAATTAAAAAAGAAAAAGGCCCTGTCTTTTACATTAAAGCGCTGCATTAGCTGCTGTTTGAATACCAGGCCTGTTCAGCATCATAGCATCAAGCCTTTGTATGCCTTTGCTACCTGTTGAATGTTTCCCACTGGTTGCTTTTATCACAGGCTCAGAACAAACAGACTGGGATCCTGGCTGCAGCTAAAGTGATCGATACCAAAACAGAAGAGGAGCTGGAGGACTACATGGTGGAGATCGACATCCTCGCCTCCTGTGACCATCAGTACATAGTCAAACTGCTGGATGCTTTCTATTATGAGAGCAAACTATGGGTGAGTGACTCTTCTTAGGAGGGGTTTGGTTACTTCGGCAGACACACACACACACACACACACACACACAGTGACGTCTGTAGGAGGAGTAGGAGTGAGAGCACACTTTTGCCTTCCTCATCAAAGAGTAGCACTATGCTGTTGGTTAAGAAGTGTTTGTACACAAATCAAACTGGGTCTTGCTGAGTTTTTCTCACATACTTACAGGCTATTAAAGAAGCATAATGTTCATTCTGGGTTTTGTAACAATTTTGTAACGCAATGTATATGCCATTGTTTTTAATTTTGTATTTTTACTTTTTTTTTTTTTTTTTAAATCAAGCTAACCATTTTTTCCCAATGAAATCTCATGTGTTATGATCTAGTCAAATCCTAATGGATAAAATCAAGTCCTTCCCCATATTAGTTCTTTCTCAGCAGCAACGTTCAAAAACGCATAACAGGATTTCTTTAAAGGGGTGGTTCATTGCGATTTCACTTTTTGTAACGTTAGTTAGTGTCTAATGTTGCTGTTTGAGCATAAACAATATCTGCAAAGTTACAAAGCTGAAAGTTCAATGCAAACGGAGATATCTTTTAAAATTCTGGCAGTTTAATGCCTACAAAAACGGCTGGTAGGGACTACAACAAGTTACTTCCCGGGTATGTGACATCACAAACCCAGATAAACCCCGCCCTTGGGAAAAGGCAGCAAAGGGGGCGAGGCCATGCGCTGCTTTAGAGAAGCGGAAGCAAAAACTAGAGGTGCACGTAAAAATCTATTCATATATGAATCGCGATGTTTAGACGCGCACTAGAGGCGGTTTAGCCAATCACAACACACTGGGCTAGCTAACCAATCAGAGCCCATCGCCTATTTCTGAGGTAGGGGCTTCATAAAAGAAGGAAATAATCAGCCCCTTTCTCAGAGAAGGGACAGAGAGGTGTGGAATAAAGGTAAATTGTGAAAAATAATGCGTTTTTAAAAAAACTAAGCATTAACACGTGTTAGACTGCACCCCATAAACACAATCAAGCCTAGAAAAAACCCAGTGAACCACCCCTTTAACAATTCATAAACCTGCTGATTTCATGTTTCATAATTTAATACTGAATAATGACAAAGGCCAGGCTTAACAGCTCCATATTAGTCTAAAATAATACCTCTCTATTCATCCCTGTCTAAAGAGTGGCAGTGGATCCTGTTTTTCTGCCATAGAGCTCCCAGGATAATTACGGCAGGATGGTTTCATATGATCCTCCCCTCTGCGGTTGGCATGTATAGAAGGATAATGGCCTATTTCAAATGACCAGTGAAAGTGCTCATGAATTAATTAGATGCAAGTCCAGTCTGCTTAGCCTGGCTGCTAATAAAGAGACATGGATGCATAGCTCATAGCAGCACAAGCATGCTTCTTAATGCGTAGAGAGATCGTTCCTACAGTCAGTGTCAGCTGAGTAAAATATTCATAGAAAGCTGGCTAAAATCTGCACAGCAGTCAATTATTTGTCACATAACTCTCTAGTCTCATGTCAGTGTTCATAGTTTATTGAGACACCGTAAGAGTCAACATTGTGTGGAAGAACTGAAGCTCTCCAGCCTAGTGAAGAGGTGTGTTTAATAAACTAAGTTCTCTGGGTTTGTGATGAGATTGCGTATGACTGTAATTCTCTGTCATCTTTGTCTACTCTTCTCTCATGGGTGATAGCATGATATAAGGTTTGTATTGATTTTCCTGCAGCACCTGTTACCTTAGGTGGTGTATTAATGACCAGCTGATGTGGTCAGTGTAATATGATGGTGTTCACTTACATAATGCTTTTATCATTTCACTCAGAGTTTTACGTTTCATATATGACTGCACTGCTGTTGGATACCATTATCCAGTATACCAAAAAATAAGTGAATGCTTGGGTAATCTAATAAAACTAGTAATTATGTTAGCAATTTCACAAAATGCTCTCATCTCATCATCGGTTGTTCTAATGATACCTGAGAGGGGCATTAACAAAGACCTCTGAACAGGTTTGTAAGGGAAGTCATTTTAAACATTATAGCCAAGAGAAAATTAAAGGTTTTTTATATTTGACTCATCCTTGAGTGCCTTGGTTTTGCGAGGTTTTTAGGAAGTCATTACTGCTTTGAATAGAAGCTAGAAGAAACCATTAATATGCCCATACTGTACCCAAATATTGTGGTAGATATATTTGTGCAGCTATTGTAGTGTACAGGACTTCTGAAGTTATGTACATATGGGAGCAACAACAAAACATGGAGGAATTTAAAAATACAGAGTGGTACATGCCCCCAAAAAATGTGATTGTTCCACAAACAAAGCATCTTCTTTATGCACCAAGAGCTTGTAACACTCCAAAGAGAAAATTTAAATCGCATCATATGACCCCTTTAAGGCCCGTTCACACCAAGGACAATAATTATAATGGTAACTATAAGGTTTTAATAATCATTGTAAATCTATGAGAATAGGGTCAACATCACAACTGTAATGATTAAAACACAGAGGAAAATGTACAATCACTTTATGTGATATGTTAAACTGTTACCATTATATAACATTTCTTAAAGTAAACTCTGCGTGCAAACTGTGGCATCAGTGTCAGTCTTAGTTTATTCATCTTCTTGATCTCTTTCTTTCACCCCCTTCTTTAGATTCTCATTGAGTTTTGTGCTGGAGGAGCGGTAGACGCTGTGATGTTGGGTAAGTTTTATGGTCTTTGTTTAATTGAAGGAAATAGAAGGCACTGTGGTCGTCTCAGTCTGTTCTACCGTGCGATGATGTTCCATTCCTCCAGACCTCACTGGCACACCAGCACGCCGTGCTCATTTTTGCCACTGGACCATATAATTATCAAAGTCAGACTTCAAGGAGTGGTTAAGCTCTTTTTAAAGCTACTCAGCCCTTTTCTGTGTTGGTTGGAAGCATCAGATCAGATCTTTTCAGTGATATGCCATGTCAGCAGAAGTAGATTTTACAAGTTTTTCATGGCTCTCAGTGGTATTAATTCAGCCAAAAACAATGCATTAATGCTTAACAAATGGTCCCATTTCCAATCTTTTCGTGCAGTGTCATCTGTACCATTTACAAAAGCGATTTCCAATCACAAATCTCATCACCATAGTTGATGGAAAACCATTTCACAACTGTAAACAATGTCCTGTAAGAATAAAACCTCTATCTTATGACTGTTTAGTCTTCTGTGATGAAAATCTGGCCTCTTCTACATTTAGCCTGTAAGAGAGGTGTTGCTGTGGAAGGTGTTCTTATGATGCAAATGCTTTTGTTGACTCACTGTTTGTGCTGTTATGACTCCTTCTGTTGCCTTCTGTCTGTTCTGTGAGGGCCTATCCCAACAGTGCTGCTGTGATAAAGACCCGTTCACATTGCTTCAGTCACAAGGAAGGAGTGTGCTAGTACCTAGCCAAAAACAACAACAGAAAATAATTCCAACAGAGTCTGTTAATATGAGCCATAGCCCTTTGTCACTGTTACATTGTAGTTTATTTGCCTAGTTTAACTTAAATACACATCACTGCTGATAAAGTGTGCTTGCTTAGCAGTGACTCTGTTTACAGCCATTTTGTATGTATATGTGTGTGTCTGCAGAGTTGGAGCGATCATTGACAGAGCCTCAGATCCGGGTTGTGTGTAAACAGACGCTGGAGGCGCTGACTTACCTCCATGAGAATAAGATTATACACCGGGACCTGAAGGCTGGAAATATTCTTTTTACCTCAGATGGAGATGTGAAATTGGGTAATAGCTTCATGAAGTTTGCTTAAAAACTGTATTTTTTATTTTAAACAATTATTTATTTCGTTAATAATATAATGTGTATATATATTTTCAAGTAATACATGTATATATGTATATTATTTCAATTGATTTAGTTATTTTTATTTATTACATTTTATTTTTTAAATATTCTCTGTAATTCAAATTTTTTTTTAAATCTTGTCCAGTAACCTGAAAAACCTGGAAAGGTCATGGAAAAGTCCTTTGGTCAAAAAGTATCAGAAATGTATCTTTAGCAGTTAATATGGGCGTATTAAAGAAAACTGAAATATGTTCATTTTAGCTTTTAAGTTTGCTTATATTAACCAATTTAAAATTAGGTCTCTTTTATTGCATATTGCTGTCAGCCATAGTGTATGTCTCTAAATTTGATCAATGTTTCTTCTCAGCTGACTTTGGAGTGTCTGCGAAGAATACAAAGACCCTTCAGAGAAGAGACTCTTTCATTGGAACACCATACTGGTTAGTCACTTAATAACTCTTGCATTGAATAATGAGATATGTCACTACGTAAGAACAGAGCTGTGAATATGGCACATAATAAGCTGATTTATTCTCAGTTGATGAAAATCCCCTCCCTCCCTCTCTCTCTTTAATGTAAGGATGGCACCCGAGGTGGTGATGTGTGAGACGTCGAAGGACAGACCGTACGACTACAAAGCAGACATCTGGTCCCTGGGGGTGACTCTGATCGAGCTGGCACAGATCGAGCCGCCCAACCACGAGATGAACCCAATGAGAGTCCTGCTAAAAATAGCAAAGTCTGAGCCCCCCACACTCGCAACTCCATCACGATGGTGAGAGTTATGACTCACAGTGCCGTGATCTTCCACATGTGTCAATACTGAAGTAAAATGCGATTAACAATATAAGCAATATTGATTGTTTCTGAGGACAGAATATTTCAGTGAGTTAAGTTAAAGGGTCGTATTTGGAAATGTTTTGACTGATATGATAAATCGTTTCCCAACTGAAAAACTATAAATCCAGACTGGAGGCTATTGAGCTGAAGAATCATTTAAGCAGTCGCCCACCCAGAGTCACAACACATGATCAGCCTGGAACTGCACAGCCTGTTGCTTAATAGTTATGATTGTAGTACCCCAAATGAAAAGCCCCTTCACATCCAGCACAGGCTTTATGTTGTTCCTCCTCTTTGTTAAACAGGTCTCCTGAGTTCAGTGATTTTCTGCGGAAAGCACTGGATAAAAATGTAGACAACAGGTGGAATGCATTGCAGCTCTTACAGGTTGGGCCATCTTGTATTTCTTGATGCAATTCAGTTTAAAGGATGAAATTAAAATGAGCAAGATAGTGATCAGCCAGGGTCTACTTTCAGCATCCATTTGTTTCAAATGTGATGGATAACAAACCACTGCGAGAGCTGATTGCTGAGGCTAAAGCCGAAGTGTTTGAGGAGTTTGACGAAGGAAAGGAGGAAGAGGAGGAAGAAGAGCCAGAGTCCCAGCCGGTATGAACATGATGACTTTAAGAACGTAGAAACCCATTCAGAGAATCTGAAATTGTCATGATAATATGGTGCCTTTTGTTTCCATGCAGAATTCTTTGATTATCTGCATGCACAGCACACAGTATTTTGTTGCTGCAGTCACTTTGTCTCTATTTCATATATGTAGGTGGTGCCTGGACACAAACGTGCATTATCGGACACCAGCTTTGGCAGCTCGGAGGATGAGAGGCAGTGTCAGAACACGCCAGCTCTTGAGTCGGTCACGGAGAAGGCTGAACCTGAAAGAAAACCCAGTTCAGACGATCAAGCTAGTGATAAGACCTCCGACATGGTGGTGGACGCCAGCGAACCCAACCATGCTGAGGATGAGAAGATGAATGAGGCCAGTCCATCAGACACAAGCACTGAGGAATCACGTTCAGGTCAGGAGGCCATACCAAAACACGACAAATCTCACACACCTGTGACCACAGAAGTAGAGATTTCTGGTCAGCCAAACCCTCCAGTATCAGACGACACTGTCCTCCAAGAGATTGTAACCGTCAGTGAGGAAACTGGGGAGGAAGAAAAGAAGGAAGTGAAGGTTGAAGAGCCACCAGAGAAGAAAAAAGAAGAGTGTAAAGAAACACAGCAGGAAGCCAAAACACAAACCACCACAGATGAAGAAGAGGAACCTACCCAGCCTTCAGATATAGCTGAACCAGAGAACAGATCTGATGGTGTTACTGAAGAAGCCATCACTGAACCAATTGAGGTTACAGAAAAAACTGAAGACAAAATTGAGACAGAGGAAGAAATGAATAAAAAGGAACTAGTGGAAGATGAGAGCACAGTACCCTCACCACATGTCCCAGCAGAAGAGTTAAAGGAGGAGCAAACTGAAACTTCACCAGATGTTTCTACAAAAGAGGTAAAGGAGGAGCTTCCTCCAGTGGCAACAGAGGACCAAGAAAAAGCTGGAGATGAGGGGGAGAGTTCCGAACCCAAAGACGATCTTGCAGCCAAGGGGGTAGATGTAGTAGAGGACAACTCCGTGAATGAATTCCCTGTTGTTGTCATCAATGGTGTAAAAGAAGAGGAGGTCATTGCAACAGAGGAACCTCAAGAAGCCCATGAAGACAAACCAGAGATCCAGAAAACACCTACCGTGCCTGAGAGTGACCAGAATTCAGAGGTGGTGAAACCTGATGTTGAAAAGGAGAAAGATTCTGACTCAGGCAGCAGTTCTGCTGCAGATACTAACAGCATTGACATTAATCTGTCAATCTCCAGCTTCCTCTCCAAAAGCAAAGAAGGATCTGTTTCAATACAGGTACATAAAACTGTGCCCAGATGTGCTTGAAATTAAGGTCCTGGGATAAAATATCTTCACTAAACTTTATTCAATCCCACAGGACACCAGGCGCCAAAAGAAAACTCTGAAAAAGACCCGCAAGTTTATGGTCGACGGGGTGGAAGTCAGTGTCACCACATCCAAGATTGTCACCGACAATGACACCAAGAGTGAGGAACTGAGATTTTTGAGGTATATAAGCTGACTTCAGTTACTGTTTCTAGTTAATTTGCAATAGGCGAATGATAATGTATCTTGTTAATGCATAAATCATATTTTAGATTGTTTGTTGTTTTGTAGGCGTCAGGAGCTAAGAGAACTGAGGCTGCTGCAAAAAGAGGAGCAAAGAGCTCAACAGCAGCTCAGCAATAAACTGCAGCAGCAGAAAGAGCAGCTCTTCAGACGCTTCGAGCAGGAAATGGCAGTCAGCACCCTCATTCCCTCACTAGTTTTGTTTACATTCAACATTGTAATCCATTGTCATCCACTGTTTATTGTACACTCTTATGTTTTGTCCGTAAAGAACTGTTTTAGTTTTCTTCACTGCAGATGTGTAGCATGATGCAGGGACACAACAAGATTGATTCATATAAAAGGCTAACCATCTCTCTCATGTTAATCTGAGATTTTGTCCTAACCAGCCACCACTGTAACAAACAATGCTTGGTTTCTGTTTTTGTAATTTTGTGATCTATAGCTCCATCCAGTCAAATTTGGACCAAAATCTGTCTTCAAATAGCTTTTTATTAAACATCATGTAGGGGTGTGCGATATCACGATTTTTGATCGTAGGCAATTAAAATGTCTCCACGATCTGCTTTTGAAGAAATATTGCATTATTGTGCTACAGCGCACATTCTGTCAGTTGCAGTTCTGTCGCCTCCGTCTCAATATGATGTACAACGCGACACGAAATGTTAACTCAGCGGTAGAGTTACACTCACGGGACACTGCACTTGTTCGCAGGCACAAAAGTACATTATTTGCATGTGCTTTAAAGCCTTGCCAGTTAAATATTTCATTTACGTGCTGTTCTGACATGCACTTTTTCTGAGCGCGTACACCTGAAGTGTGTGCACACTAAAAAGCCCGTAAAACAGCGCCTGATTACTGGTTATCTTTCGCGTCTGATTGTGCTAATACTGTCGATAACATGAAAGATTTACATAAAAACAGCTGGTTATGTCTAAAGTGAAAGTAAACCGTTGAGAGAAAAGCAGACATGTGCCTTTATATTGGATGCGTGCAGGTCTTAAAGCGACAGCAGACTAATAGTACTAAACATCCTGCCGCTTGTCATTAAAAGGAGAGTTCACTCAAAAATGAAAAGTCTGTCATTATTTACTTACTCTCATGTTGACCCAAACCTGTATTCATTTTTTTCTTGTGCTGAACACAAAAGAACATATTTTGAAGAATGTGGGTAACCAAACAGTTGCTGGTCCCCATTGACTTTGATAGTAAGAAAAAAATACTATGGAAGTCACTGGGGACTAGAAACTGTTTGGTTACCAACATTCTTCAAAATAACTTTTACGTTCAACAGAAGAAAGAAACTCATTCAGGTTTAAAGGAACTAGAGTGAGTAAATGATAACAGAATTTTCATTTTTGGGCTTGAATGCTAGTGCTAAATACGCACCTACTGTACCTAAAAAATAAAACACTGTTTTATTTGTATATTATTTGTATTTGTAATGTGTATCTTTGTTCTTATTTTATAATAACAAAAATAAAATAATAACAAAGATTTTTATATCCACCTACTTTGGCCTAAATGTCTGCCATTCTTTTTTTTATTTTATATTTTGTTACCTTGTAAGGCTTTGTTTTTAAAATAGGGAAATTAGTTTGGCTGTACTGCTCGGACAACTTGCAAAATAGTACAACCAACATGACAAAGAATCCTGATAAAATCGTGACTCATGATTTTCCTGAAAAAAGTCGTGATATGATATTTTTTCCTTATTGCCCACCCCTAACATCATGTATTCTCTGATTGAAAGTAAAATGACAGCCATCAACAGCAGAAAGATTAGCTCCAAACTCCTTGCGTTTGGTAAGGACTCAATTGTAGCCTTTGTTTAGTATTTTGGTTGAACTGCTCACTGTTAGCTCAGGTTTAACAGCCTGATGATGTCTCAGAGGGACACAAGTACAAAGCTCAAGTTGCTTGACACGCATTCATGGTCATTTACAGTAATTCCTCTTTCTCACTCTCTCCAGGGAAAGAAACGTCAGTATGACCAAGAGGTGGAGAACCTTGAGAAACAGCAGAAACAGACCATAGAGCGTCTGGAGCAGGACCACACCAACCGGCTGAGAGATGAGGCCAAGAGGATCAAAGCAGAGCAGGACAAGGAGCTCTCTAAGTTCCAGAACATGCTGAAGAACCGCAAAAAAGAGGTAACCGAGAATGAGAGATGCAGAGTCTGATGCACTGGATTTGCTTTGCATGTATTTGTTCATCAGACCGTGACCTGTTAATTGTTGGTTCTAAGGATGAGCATTTAGAGTAATTTAATAGCCAAGTACACTAACACTTATAAAAATAATAATAGTAGTAATTGCTTACACAAATTTATGTTAAAAATGCAATATTCACAAATGTTAAGCTTTATCACAATTTGGTGTTGAATTTTTTTTTTTTTTTACATTTCATTGGAGTCTATAGCAGGCAAAGGTGACAGTCTATTTGTGAGTAGTGTTTGCTAGTCAGCGAGTTAGGAGAATGAGTACTTGACTGTTGGATTACTCATGCTCAACCCTAATTAGTATGCTTTTAGCAGCTTTCTTTTTTTTTCATTCTTGTTTTCTGGGAATGCTAAAGCCAAACAGACACTCTTGCATTTGGCTAATGCACATTGGCAGCTTTGCTTCTGAATCACAATGCCGCTGCAAATGGAATTGATTTTTTCTCATCTGTCCTCTTAGACACATCTCAGCAGTGTCTCTTGCTTTGTATTCAGTCTTGTAAATGCAAAGCCGTTATTTTCTTATCATGTTATGTTTGCCTAACGAAACTCTGGCTTTCACATTCAGTTACCTCCATCCTCAGAGAGGCTGCAGAGACAGCTTTAAAGGTTAATCGGGTGCTAAGCAATGGTTTAAAAGCAAAATAAAGGCTCTTTTCAGTTCATCTCATCTTCCTCCTGCTGGTGTTTTCAAGTGTTGCTCATGAATGAATGGATTTCAGTGCATGCATGGCTTCAGGGAAATGGGGAGTGTAGTGTGGATCTGTGACTGGTCTTATTTGCTTTTAAGTAGTGATGCATGATGCATTTGCTTTCATAGTCAGTAACATCATAATAATGAATCACATTTTAGCTGTCTCTCGTTGCAGCATGATTATCAGCCAGCATGATACATGCTCAGAGCGAGTGGCAAACTGTATATTAGCATTATTAGAGTCTCTCTTATTTTCTCTTTTTGGTTTTGGTTTTTCTTTGGCACTTGTACTAGACAACTTGCTCCCCTCTAATGCGGTCATATGCATGAATAGAGTGCCTTAATGGATTCAGATAAGGCAATGTTTCATCTCTCCCTCTCTTCTCCCTTTCATGACACACTTTTCAAATATTTCTTGATATTTATTATTTCTACCTATGAAGTAATAGCATTATTAGTATTATTGAGAACAAGTGCATGTAAAATGACTGTTTTTACACATGTTTTTGATATTATATTTTTGTAAGTGTCACTAATTATGTTGCCCGTGTGAGTGTGATGTAATGAGTGGAGATCAGTGCTGTGGTGAAGGGCCTCTTCTCTTGATAGGAACACACTGTATTTATAGACTATGTACTAGAGAAGTTACTGTTCTTTTTAAAAAATACTGTTAAAATTGACCTTCATTGCAAGATGCACACCTCAATTGCTGAGCAGCAGATAAAGTAATATATACACTACTGTTCAAAAGTTTGGGGTTAGTATGATTTTTTTCCCCTTTATACTTCTTTATTAAAACGAACTTATGCTTAAGCATGGATTCATTACATTTATCAAAAGTTACAGTGAAGACATTTGTTATAAAATATTTTTATTTCAAATAAATGCTGCTTTTGAACTTTGCTCATCAAAGAATCCTGAAATGTAACAATGTCCACAGAATTACAAGCAGCACAACTGTTTTTAACATTGATAATAATATAAAATATTTCTTGAGCACCAATTACCATATTAGAATGATTTCTAAAGGATCATGTAACACTGAAGACTGTAGTAATGACTGCTGAAAATTCAGCTTTGCCATATTAAAATATAAAACAGTTATTTAAAACTGTAATCATATTTAAATTTAAAACTGTATTTTTGATCAAATAAATGCACCCTCTGTGAGCATAAGAGACTTCTTTCTAAAACATTAAAAAAATCTTACTGACCCCAAACGTTTAACGGTAGTGTATATGATATTATAATATATTTACTTTTAGAATGGAAAATATTACTCCATTTGTGTAATATTTATTCAAAATTCACAAATAAATGTTTTTACTTAAAAAAAAAAATAAAAAAAAATCAGGCTAGGTCAGACTACATACTGTATTGATCTGTCACTAAAAGTAAGTGTTAATATTTTCAGTTGGACATTGACTGGCATTTTTGAGAACGAAGGCATTCTAGGGTCAGTTCAACTGTTTTGATCCCGCAGGGAAATATCTCAGTTTCCTGATCAAACTGACAATTTGACACTTGACTTCTCATGCTGATCTGCTGAAAACAATGACCTGCTGACACAGTTCAGCTTCCTTCACAAAACAGTAAATATCAGCAATATAGAGGTGTGCATCTTTTAGAGATTACTTTGAAGGGATCTACAGTGGGTACGGAAAGTATTCAGACCCCCTTAAATTTTTCACTCTTTGTTATAAGCAAATGGCTGCAATATAACAAAGAGTGAAAAATTGAAGGGGGTCTGAATACTTTCCGTACCCACTGTATATTCTGATGGCTGTAATGGTTGTGTAGGTAAAAGAGGGATCTATATTAGCAGCTGTTAGTGGGCTTTCACTGTTCTTCGGCTTCTGAACAACTCTTACCGGTAGTAGCTGATCATGGGCTGTTGGAATCATCTTTATATTAACTGCTAACCCAGTCAGACATCATCAGTGGTTTGGGGATGATTACCTCTGAAATACTAAACAGTAAATTAACCCTTCCTGGCAGACTTTGCATGACATTCTTTGACTAATGAATTACATAATCAGTCCCTACGCAAGTAAAGCCTTCATTCCCAAAAGTCTGCATGCTCACACTGTAGGTCAAACAAGAGGTCGGAATGTCCCCTAAACACATAAGAAAAGAGCTCATGAAACGCTTGAAGGAAGACCTAGCAGTCATTCAACATGAAGAGGTAATTTAGTTACCAGCTATTACACACAAACACACACACACTTCCACTTCTGTTTTCTGCCCCTCTGGTCTTAAATTGTAGGACTGACTAAAATCAATATTATTCCTTAAATTTCCTGTTTAAAAATAAACTGTCATCATGGGCATTGATGGAGAGTTTGTCCTCCCTTTGCTGCCAAATCATCTTCCAGTCTTCTGGGAAGGCTTTCCATTAGGTATTTGATCATGGATGCAGGGATTTACTCCCATTCAGACACAAAAGCATTGATGAGCTCAGGTGATGGGACCTGGCGTCTGCATTCTGAAACATTCTCAAACCCCTATTGTAGGGCTGCACGATTTGGGGGGGGGATCTAATAGTGATTTTTCTGATAAAAATGGATTTAAAATGCAATTTAAAGAAGCTCCGGAATTAAAGTACTTGTTTGTAGGGCTGTGCAATTTTGCCAAAAATGAGTACTGCTAATATAATAATATTAGCAGTGCTAATAAATAATAAATTATTATTATTATTAACACATTTAAAGTAGTAAACAAGATGAGAAATATTACTAATGCAATATTTCACTGTAAAATAAAACCTGTATTTAAGGAAAGAAATATAATTAATTTTATTTTACAGTATAACTGTAAAATTACAATATTTATGGCGGTCTTAATTTCTTGATTTTAATGTTAAACCATAAAGTTCTTTTGTTGGAAAACCGCAGGAGACCTTAAAGTTGCTCTTTTGTTAACAACAGCCAGTTATTTTAGCCGATCTCGTCAATGTTATCTACTTTCTGATGGCTCATCAACTTCCCATCAACGTTCCCACGTTATAAGCAGCCCAAACTCAGAGCAGATGCAGAGATGAGTTCCTATGATGCAGCATCTGCTGCAAACCAAGACGCTGAAAACATCAGATCATGAGCTGCTCATGTGTAAAAGAACACAGTGCTGTGCTTTACTCTGAAACATGCAGCTCATTGATTTTATGCACCTGTTAGAAATGTGTGTTGCTGAAGTAGCCAAAGCGGTTAACGAAAAGGGGGGATATCCACACTTTGGCCACATTGGATGTTGCATCGATCTCGAGGATTAAAACTAAAAGACTAATAATGACTGCTGCATCTCATCACGCATGTCAAGGACGACAGCTGCACTAACTGATCATGGTCCTTCAGACTCACCAGCTGCTAAACCCGCTCTCCGTCCATCGTCTGGAAGAACTGATTTCACTGCACGTGACCCAGGAAACTAACCGATTAGTGCAATGAGAAGACTAGATGATATTGTGATATGTGTGTCTGGTTTGCGTGCGATACGCTTGAGTGCTGGTGTGTGTCCCCTGTTCCTGACATGGTGGAGTTGGCTGTTTTTTACTCCACAGGGTGTGGCCCAGGTTATGATACAGTCTTTTCAGTTGTCCTCATGTGCTCTGTTCAACGCTCAGATGCAGGATGTAAGTCTCCACTCTCCTCGTGACTCAACCCTCTCACATGTGCCCGTCCGTCACGCAAGAAACAGAGCAGATGCACACACAAATGCACATTCACAGTGTAACAGCTGTAATAGTTTAGTTAACTTGTAGTTTAGTCATTAAAATTAGCTTACAAACTTTAAAACAGGAGAAAATAGACCAGAAAATGATATACAGTCCAGTATGAAAATGAAAGTTGTCAGCACATCTCTTTGGAAGTTCATGTGAGCCTCCCTGGAATCAGTACACTGTTGTCACATCTGAATTATAGTGTATATTTGCTGAGTGACACTAGCAGAACTGATTTGATTATGTTCTACACGCTTCCACTGAAGCACGTCTCTTTGTAACAGTGCAGTAGTGTTTGAATGTGATGTTGACGGCACATGCGGGTAGGAAGGTTGTCTGTTGTTTTGGAGTGCTGTTGCTGCAGTGTCTCAGTATCTCTTCTATCTGCTCACTCTCTCATACTGTTACTGAAACTAGTCAAGTTTTTGTGCGTCACCTGTGCTGCTTTTTTTCTATGTGCCACTGAAGGCCAAGTTCAAAGCAGGAGTCAAAGATCAGAGTGACTTTTGAAATGCATGATGATGATGATTATTATTATAATTAGCTTATACATTATGTATTAACAGTATTGCTCTGGTGGAGTCATTTTTCAATGTTATTATACAGGTCTTTTAGGCAGGCCCACATGGATCTGACTGAATTAGAATGCATGTAATTTATAAAATTATACAAATACTTTCACTACCATTCAAACGTTTGCGGTCAGTAAATATGTTTGTTTGATTGTTTTTTAAGAAATTAATGCTTTTTATTCAGGCAAGGTCAAGGATGCGTTAAACTGATCAAAAGTGACAGTGAATACATTTCAAATACAGGTAAATGCTGTTCTTTTGAACTTTCCATTAATCAAAGAATCCTGGAAAAATAATCATGATTTCCACAAAAATAAGCAACACAACTGTCTTCAACATTGATAATAATAAGAAATGTTTCTTGAGCAGCAAATCAGCATATTAGAATGATTTCTGAAGGATCATGTGACACTGAAGAGTGAAGACTGGAGCTGAAAATTCGGCTTTGCCATCACAGGAATAAATTACAAATTAAATGTATTTAATAGTAAAGTTATTTTAAATTGTAATATTTTACAATAGTACTTTTCACTATATTTTTGATCAAATAAATGTAGCTTTGGTGAGCGTAAGAGACTTATTTCAAAAACATAAAAAATTTACCAGCCCAAATCTTTTGAATGGTAGTGTACAACCTTTTTGCATTTATTAAATTGTTTGTTCATTTCATTTAGCTTTCAGCAACCAGTAAAGTTGTAATACACATTTTACCATGTTTTAATCCATCCTGATGACTCTTCCCCCCTACCCACCCCCAAATCAACACAGAAAATATGATAAAACGTCAGTCAGGGCCTACCTTTAGGTTGTTACACTGTACTGTGACTTTATATGTATTGTTAATCTATTCTCTAGTTCCTTCCTTTCACAAATCTTTATCCATTTATCATGAATTATCAATGTTTTATCTTTGTTAAATGGTTTAAGTGTGTGACTTTCATCTTAATGCAGTGTGGTAATGTTCATGTGAACTTTGCTTCCCCTCGGAGCATGATCATGTACAGTCACTAATTTACAACACCCATGTTGTTTCTGTACCCGATTCCTCCTCCTTCCTTTCTTCCTCTCGCTTGTTCTTTCTCCACCTGTCTCCTAGGAGCAAGAGTTTCTCCAGAGGCAGCAGCAGGAGCTGGATGGAGCTCTGAAGAAGATCATCCAGCAGCACAAACTAGAGATCGCCACTATAGAGAGAGACTGTCTCAACCACAAGCAGCAGCTCATGAGAGGTCAGGCACTCTATAAACAGAGGCCACTCTAAATATTCTTGCATTTATAATAATGGAAAGCAAGTTGAATGGTCTCAGTTTTTTGTTTGCCTGCAGTATGACCTCAAATAGTTGCACTTCAAACTGCACTGTTTGATGTTATGAGGAAGTCCTGTAGACCTTTTGTGTTAAATTGTGGTTATGTTCATTATAATTAAATTAGCTGCGCATATATGGTGATAAGAGTTTTCTAGGTCACACTGTCAACTCCAACCACAAAGGAAACAAGCTAAACATGTTACCTGCTTCTACAGACAGTAAAGCTCTCTCTAAACTGCATGTTATTTTCAGACGGGTCCAATTATAAAGGCCAGCCATAAGTCTCTTGAGGTGCGGCCCAGATCTCATTTGATGAGACGTGCGTGTGAAAATGATTCCAGACAGGCCGTGTTGAGATTTGCCATCTATGATTTGTAATGAACTGTATGACTTTGTCTGCAAACGGTCTGGTTCTAATGGCTGAGAATCACTCCATTTCCTCTTTTCTTTGGCTCACAAACCCACAGCTCGGGAGGCAGCCATGTGGGAGCTGGAGGAGCGCCACCTGCAGGAGAAACACCAGTTGCTGAAGCAGCAGCTGAAGGATCAATACTTCATGCAGAGACATCAGCTTCTCAAAAGACATGACAAGGTGAGACCTGTCTGTCAAATCTATTCAGTGAATCAAAGACTAGTATGTTTAGTAGCCACTCTCTGACTGTTTATTCCCACACGATGGGTCATCAGGAGATGGAGCAGATGCAGGGTTATAACCAGCGGCTGATAGAGGAGATGAAGAACAGGCAGGCACAGGAAAGAGCTCGGCTGCCCAAGATCCAGCGCAGTGAAGCCAAGACCCGTATGGCGATGTTTAAAAAGAGCCTGCGGATCACTGGCACAGGAACACCAGAGCAGGACAGAGAGAAGATCAAACAGGTCAGACCCTCTTTCAGAAAGCTTTGCCAAAATCAGAGGAATCAGGCTTGTTTTAAGACCTAAGGGTGTTTCGTGCTTTATTTCGAGCAGTTTGCTGCCCAAGAGGACAAGAGACAGAAGAATGAGAGACTTCATCAGCATCAGAAACATGAGAACCAGATGAGAGACCTGCAGCTGCAGTGTGACTCCAACATCAGAGAACTTCAACAGATGCAGGTCTGTAACACGCATATATACAATCTTGCTGTCGTCCTCTTTCCTTGGTGCTTGCATTTTGATTACATTAACTTTTAAATTAAATTATGCTGCCCTCTATCTTTGGTTGTAACATCTGATTTGTTGTCTTTTTGCCATCAGAATGAGAAATGCCACCTTCTGATTGAGCATGAGACTCAGAAGCTGAAGGAGCTGGATGAGGAGCACAGTCAGGAGCTGAAAGACTGGAGGGAGAAGCTTCGGCCCAGGAAGAAGGTATTCGGATTTCATTCCATTCACGTTTCATTCATCCAATTAAACCTGATCCTTTCAAGTGCATATACAATAGAAAAAACAAGCCTAATATATATAAAGCTGAATTGTTACTCAAGTTTTCAGTGCTGCTTAATATTTTGTGGAAACTGGTACATTTTTTTCAGAATAGATGTTCAAAAGATCAGCATTAACAGCATTAAAATATTAATAAACATTTTGAGCAAATATTAGAATTAGATCACAGTATTCTTGAATGATAATACCTTCTCATACAGTATATTTTGAGTAGGACTGTTCATTGTAAGTACACATACTGTATGATTGTCTCCTGCTCTCTCTTAGGCTCTGGAGGAAGAGTTCACACGTAAACTGCAGGAACAGGAAGTCTTCTTTAAGATGAGCGGAGAGTCCGAATGCCTCAATCCCACCACCCAGAGCAGAGTCTCTAAATTCTACCCCATCCCCAGTGTGCACTCCTCTGGCTCTTAATCTTCACTGAGCTTTATCTAAAGTGAAGAAGAGCTGTTCCAGTCACGAGCCCATTAAGCCTTTTAAATGTATGAGATCAGAATAGATGCATGGTGTTGAAATTAAATTCCAAAATACCTGAAAGTTGGAATCTAACAGTAATGAAGGACAAACCTTATGCATTACCTAGACATGCTTTTTTTGCCACATTGAATCATACAGTATATTTTGAGTAGGACTGTTCATTGTAAGTACACATACTGTATGATTGTCTCCTGCTCTCTCTTAGGCTCTGGAGGAAGAGTTCACACGTAAACTGCAGGAACAGGAAGTCTTCTTTAAGATGAGCGGAGAGTCCGAATGCCTCAATCCCACCACCCAGAGCAGAGTCTCTAAATTCTACCCCATCCCCAGTGTGCACTCCTCTGGCTCTTAATCTTCACTGAGCTTTATCTAAAGTGAAGAAGAGCTGTTCCAGTCACGAGCCCATTAAGCCTTTTAAAGGTATGAGATCAGAATAGATGCATGGTGTTGAAATTAAATTCCAAAATACCTGAAAGTTGGAATCTTAACAGTAATGAAGGGCAAACCTTATGCATTACCTAGACATGCTTTTTTTGCCACATTGAATCCAATGGATTAATATTGTAGTATTCTGTACGTTGTCTTCTAGTCATGTTAATTTGTGCTTGAGACGTTAGCGCAAATTAGCAATGAATACACTCAGGCAATATCATCTTGTCTTTGTGGAATACATGAATAAGACCGCCTTAATGTGGTCGCATGATGCCCATAACAAACATAACATCACAGACAGAAAATACCATTTAAAGGGTGAAGAGGTCACATTTAAAAGAGCACGTGGACACACTCCACTCAACAGTGTAGTCACTGTTACACTCAATTCTCTAAATGTTGCACAGCTAGTAAATGAAGCTTCAGTGCTGTTATAGTCTTGTAGCAGCTGTTATGTTGTATTTTTGGCCTATTCTGTTTTTAATGTCCACGTAAAGTTACTTTTAAAACAAACTTCTCATTTTAACTCTTTCTTTTAATATTTGACTTATGGTTAAAGATATTTGCAGTCGAGGAATGTAACACGTAAGATGACATTACACACTTTAAAACAAAAAAACATGTGCAGTAGTGATCTCTTTAGTGCATTAGGAAGGAAATAGTGCCCAAATATTTGTATACGATGATGTCATTTCTCATTTGGCAAGTCACTTTGTGTTGCAGAGTACCCAAGTTTATTTTTTTATGAGCAAATTAATTTCACATATTTGAAGAAAAATAGGGCAGTCTTTTCCTTCTTGAATGTTTCATATATGGTGTTAAAAAGTTATTTATGGATTTAACTGAAGTTGAACGTTTTTATTTTTGTTAGTTTTTCCCCGTTTCATCAATATATAAGGGGAATATGAACTTGCACATGTGAGATTGTTTATCTTAAGTTCAGGTTTTTTGTGTCAGGCGAAGGACACATACTTTGATAGATGTAGAGCAGTGTTTAGTCCATTGCAGTCTGCAAAAGTGTTTCAGTGGGAAGACATTTCTCACTGTTGCTGATGATTCAAGCTCTATTTTTGATAACATGTTTTGTGCAAGAAATTACACACCTGTATCTAATCCATAATATGACATGCTGTGCTTATATACTTTTTGCATGCTGAAAGAAATCCCAAATGCTGTACTTTACCAGAGACATGAACTTTTTGAAAAGACAATGCATTTTACAAAGGCTGGTTCTAAAAGTTGGTATTTGCACAACCAGTGCATTACAAATCAGGATACTTGTTCAGAGACCGAAAGAAAGGGCCGATATCCTAGTGTCATACTGCTGAACAGTGACCTTAACCTCCTTCAGCACTTCGATGGAATATCTGATGCATTTTTTGAGGTCAATTTATGTATCTAAACGCTTGCATCCATTGGTATACTGTAATAATGCTGTAAATAAAACTCATTGTATTTTCTTTGATTTGTTGGTGTTTTTTGTAGTTCGGTATTGAAACTATGAAGCTACTATCGAAATCATATTCTATTCTTTGTTACATATTCAGTGGCTTTTTACTTGTAATGACTCGCATGGTTTAAAAAAATCTCAAGTGCTTAAGATCCCTTTTTTTTTGTTCGTTACATTTTGATTTTTTGTGCATTTGCAATGCAAAACATCACCATAGACTAGATTCATACAATACAAAAAAAGGCAATAACAAAGCCCGCTACTTGGTAAAAAGTACATTTCAAGTGCTATATTCAATGTTAGATAATGAAAACAGACTGATGTCTTAAACGAAACTATGAAGCTACTATCGAAATCATATTCTATTCTTTGTTACATATTCAGTGGCTTTTTACTTGTAATGACTCGCATGGTTTAAAAAAATCTCAAGTGCTTAAGATCCCTTTTTTTTTGTTCGTTACATTTTGATTTTTTTTGCATTTGCAATGCAAAACATCACCATAGACTAGATTCATACAATACAAAAAAAGGCAATAACAAAGCCCACTACTTGGTAAAAAGTACATTTCAAGTGCTATATTCAATGTTAGATAATGAAAACTAAGACTGATGTCTTAAACCCATGCTAGTAAAGCTGAAAATTGTTTGGAATGTATGGATTATAATATATCATGCATTTGTTGTTTATAAAACTGTACACTGTGATAAAATAGGACCCAAACAAGCCTCTGAGCTGTGTTACTTCATAAAAAGAGGCTAGTTTATGAATTATAGTTAAATGAATTATCTTAAAGATGTATATTGTTTCTTTACACCGTCAGTGCATCCACAAAGGTGTGCTGCTGCAAATGTGTGTGCCCTTACACACCATTGGTCCGAATCCATTTACCAGTCTGGAAATCACCTAAATTCAATATGGAGATACATGTCAGACTGACTGCTGGATCCAGCGCTCCCTTAAAATAAGTCATTATTTGATGATGACAACATAAAAACCTTGAATATTATAACCTTTCATGCTAGGATACAGTATATGATGAGAAGCCGAGTATACTACGACTGATAGGCAGTTTTCTAACCTTTATCACCCTTTTCTCCCCTTGGTCCCTCTGGTCCTCTTTGTCCCGAAAGGCCGGGTATCCCTGAGCTCCCCATTTCCCCTGTAGATCAAATACAAGCTTATTCACAGCTATACTCACAACTCTTCACTTTGATGTTCAAGCAGGCAGCACTTCAGATCTTGATTCCTTGTCCAGTAGGGCTATATGAATCATGACTGGTACCTTTTTCTCCTTTAGGTCCAGGGTATCCTCTGTCTCCTTTGGGTCCTGGCCTGCCAGGAGGCCCTGGGATGGTCCCATATGCTGAAAAGATGAGTAATGTTTAGGAATAATGATACAAGACAAATATGGTGATTAAATATATAATCAGTATATGTGATAAAGTATGTGAGTAAAAGTGGACACTAACTTCTAAAGAAGTCCATTAAGTCAGCCGTCACATTTCCGTAGGAACCAATCACACGGCTGTACCCGGGTGGCCCAGGAGGACCAGGAGGCCCAGCAGGTCCTTGGATCCTTCCTGCTTGTGTTCTCCAGTATCCCTCTGTCAGGTCCTGCAGTATACCTTGATCTAAAGGAAACAAGCAAGATGGATTTGCTCGTTAGCCCTGTGATGGACTGACCATCTGTCCACAGTGTTTCCCTGACTATGGCCCAAGACACTCGGATTGGCTCCAGTACCTCTGACTGCATAGGATAAGCGATTTTGGAAAATGGATGGATTTGCTTATTATTACTGTGCTTTGTTCTACTTTTGTCTTTTAGACCCAACACCGCCAGATACTCGCAGTACCAAACAAAGCCAAAGCAGAATCACACACAATTAGTAGTGTTTTGTTCCTAAATGAGTCAGTGTTTTAGGACAAATTGATCAGGTGAATGACTCAAATGTCTCACTCAAAAAGATAATGGCTGCTTCCAAATATGCATATTTCCCTACAACCCAGTCAAAGTGACTTTAAGGTATTTTATAGTCTTTGACCCAGTGGGCACCTTGATATCAATTTGACATAAAATATTCGTCAAGATGCTGTAACAATTTTAAATTCAGTTTGGACAGCAATTTCTTCCTGTAGTAATTGGGTGAAAACAGGAAGTTAATCCCACATTGAAATTGGTTTAATGTATATGTAGGCCAATATGTTTGACGTTCAATTTACATAAAATCAATGTCATGTAAAGTTTGATTTGCATATTTGACCTGTTTTTTTATGTCAATTTTGATGTCAATTTGATGTCTTTTCAACATCAGTTGCCGACAGGGTATATAGTTGACTAAAGAACAGTATGCGAATGACTAGTATTTCCAAATTCACAGTACTCATAAAACAATAAAGAAAAAGTCACAGAAGTCGAGCATGAATTCCAGTGCAGCGCTTCTGTTCTGTTTTAATGAAAGAGTGTGAGGTAAGACGTAAGTACATTTAATATAACTATTTTACGATAAAAATGTTAAACAATCATCAGTAATATCCAGTTATGCAAACTTAACAACTTTGTCAAATTTCTGTTTTGACTTGAAAATATAGTCTATTGTGATTCATATAATTTATAACGGAATGTGACAAGACAGAAAACATTACCACAGCTGTTTTCTGCATAGTAGGCACACAAGAGTAAATTTGTGCATATTTTAAAAAATACTTGCAAATAAATTAATATTTGTTAACATGATTAGAACATGACTAGAATATTTGACTATAAACTGTTATTTTGATGCATTGCAAGCATGGATATTTCTTTCAAGAATCACAAGGTTAAGTTAATTTTATTGCTTTATTATGAATATAACTGGTGCATAGGACTTGATGATACTGTACTCACTCTTAATATAATCAGTCACTTTGAGTGCAACATTGGAGTAGTCCACTGGTTCACTGATCTCAGAGCTATAGCGGTATTGGCTTCTGGCATTGTGATAACTGTGTCCAGGT